GCATAGCCAAATTAAAATTCCTGAAACTATACCTAATTGTCTAGTTAAACATCAAAAGAACTAGGCATAGTATTATGTTTATTAAGCATAATCTTCTAAAACTATGTGTAATAAACGTAAGCATTATCGAGCTATATGTAGTGCTTCGTGTGTTATGCCTCGATTAAAACGTCTTTACAATGTGTTAAGATATAAACACAAGATTTTCATCACAATTTCAAAATATTTCATCAATTTGTTGAAATTCAAGAGAGAATTTCACGTGTTGTACTTGCATTTCTCTCTCTCGTGCGTAACTAAATATTTTCACTTTCCAGCTATTGTTCTCGAAATTTGCTCTATTTTCTTTTCGAGTTGTATACAGTACAGTCATTCGATTCATCGCTTCTAATTTAGCCCAATTATTGTTTATTTGTCCATTTAACTATCGAGTTTATACACTTAGGTGACCTCAGAGGTCATCTTTCAATAATTAAGGGATCATTAGAAACACGAAATATCACACGGGGTCAAGTTGAACGCTCCACGACCGAGGTCAAAATTATACCAATTTACAACGATCGATTGACATTTTCTCCTTTCCCCGAACACAAATTCGTTCATTGATAGGGTCAATGTCACTAGAGTCAATTGGGTTTGTTGTTCTTATTCATTTTTACATGTTCCACTTCATGTACTTGGGTCTTCAACATGCGCCGTTATTTACATTTTAAATGTCACAGAATAGCTCTAGGAATTTTCTTTTGAATACATTTATATTAATATATCTCGAAAAAAAAAATCTGAAATTAATTATTTAATTTTTAAAATTTGAAGAAATATCCTTCATTATTAATTAAATAACTTTCACTAGAGAAAAAGTTGTGTTTGTTAATAATATTTTTGAAAAATTTCATTAATTGAACTCGATAAATAATTTAAAAAAACGTAGAAAATTATATAAACGTGAAAAAATGTCAGTTTCCAGATTAAATACAATTAAGAAAACTGTCAATTTCTGAATTAAATGTAATTAACAGAAATGTAAATTTCTGAATTAAACGTAATTAAAAAATTGTCAATTTCTGAATTAAACGTAATTAACAGAAATGTCAGTTTCTAGATTAAATGTAATTAGTAAACAATCAAATCAATGTGAAATTTACGAATTAAGATGGAAACGGGATTAAATTGTCAATTTTTTTTTATAATAAATGAAATAATTTATATTAAGTAATTTTTACGAATTTAGTTAAAAATTGGAATTAACTTTAATCGAGTGAAATTAATTGTAATTTAGTAGCTACAAATTACATAATTTAATTAGCTTAGATATATTTAATAAGAATTAATTTTTTTTTTATTAGAAGTATTAACAAATATTTCTAATGAAATTTTATACATTATAATTAAGGAAATTAATTAAAAAAATTAAATGAAGTTAATCAAATACTATTTTTTTTACCTTCGATTTTAGCATAAAAAAATAGAATAAGAAAAGAGAAAATTTAACTTATTTTCTACTTGTTCCAAATGATTAGGATGTTGATGCCCCTTTATTTAGTCTCTATCTGATGGCTCCATTTCCCTTTATTACTTTCCCTGTATAGATAAGACTCTCAGCATGAATGACAATTTAACTATTCCATTTCCACGATTAATTTCCTATCTGTAATTATTTATGTTACAGAAACGAATTCAAATTATATCATTAATATTAATTATCTAATTCCAAATCCAATTAAATCACACCTAATTTTGATAACATAAATATAATTTAATTCCAAATATTTTGAATACGTTTATATGTTAATTGTAATTAAATTTATTTAGTTAATCATATTAATGACACTGACGCGAATGAAATTAACAGAATCAGCTGTTTGATTTGAAAGAATATTGTAAATTTCTATTTGTTTATTTAATGAAATTGATAATAAACTGAAATAGAACAATTTAAACAGCATCAGCTGATCTTAAATACATTTAAAAATCATTTAATGATGTTTAAAAATCGATTTCACGTTATTGTTATCGAAATTAACATAATAATTTGAAATTGATTTAAAAAAAAACATTAGCAACTGTTATTTTTCTGTTAAATAATTAATATTAGTTAATTATTTTCTGTTTTTAAAATACAATTAACAATTACGATTACTTTTATTCATTTTTAATCTACTTTTTAATCGGGTACTCGGCTAAAAAAGTCAATAAGTTTTCAGAGAATGAAACGTACTAATGATTAATTTTTATTTTTAATACTAAATAAATTCTATTTTTGAATACATATTTTAAAATATTGGTTTTTCACCTTCCATAGCACAAGTGGGCCAAAATTATTCCGAAACAGGCCTGTATTTATGTATTTTCTTTCCTTGTTCGTACCGGTTTGGACTTTATACTTTAAATGCAATTAATGTCTTTCTTTTTTTTTGGAGAGGGGGGTTTTTATGAAATAGACTGAGCAGAAAATCTTATAAAATCTAAAGAGGGTTAATGGAGATTACAGTTTTATTGCTCACAATTAAATTATAATTTTCCTTCTCGGTAAGAAATATTTTGCGAGGAAATGACCTTGAAATCATTTATAAAAATTCTTTAAATAATTATTACACTTTAAATAACGGCCTTTGTTACGAATTTAATCTATCCGGAAAGGTACATTTAGGGCAAGATGTGTAGAAAACGTCGGGTTGTCGACCCGCTCTGCAAGGTCGTTTCTACGTAGGAGATCTTACATTTAAATTCTCTATCAACGACACAATTATAAAAAGTAATTATTACAAGATTCTCCTTGTTGTTAATCTAATCTTCGTTTATATCTTTTCTTTCGTATTCTCACGCGTTAAGTCACTAACCCGAATTGATGATGGAAGAAGAGGGAGTTCCAGTCTCTTTACGTTATTAGTTGAAATTGTTTTACGTCACAGTCACGAACTTTTGCTTTTTATTGTGACGAAGTTTTCGTATCTTTGTTTCTTGTAATAATTCATAGTTGGGTTATTTTATGTGTTTTCGTGAAGGAGAAATGTCATACGATATACTTTAACTGTGGCTTATGAGTTATAAGGTATGTAATTATATTGTTAATATAATTCTATCAGACACTGTAAGAATTTAATGGTTCCTCGGCTATGCGCTGTCTTTAAAAATTAATGCCAGAGCTCTCGCCATTTCCGGAAGGCCCTAAATTCGATTGAAAAATTAAAGGCGAAACCGGACTTATACGTAAGCTAACGAAGCTAAACCTCGAGGCCTCTTTCTTTTAAATAATTATTTAAAGGAGAAGGGCCTTTTACTTGTTATAGATTAGATCCACAAGACGAAGGGCGATTTTAACATAAGACCTCGCGTTTTTAAATTTATTATTAATTGGTGGAGGGAAAGGACCGCTTGTTATGATCCTAAACTGAGATTTAGAGTGATAAGAAGTCTAATTTAGTGCTTTATACCATTTAAAATGGCAGCCATAATTCCAATACGCGCTGCTCAAAATGGAGAGCGACTTCTTAGAGTTATTTTGAATAGTACTCACTCATTTTAACAATTTTCTCTACTTGAGCAGAAAATAGGCGAATTTCAGTCGCCATTTCATGCGGAATAAGCACTAATTTGTATTCTTATAATATTGAGTAAATCGCTAACAATATTGTAAATATCATTTCAGTTGGTGATTGTTTAGACTATCGAAAACAATACGAAATTAATCGCCAGAAAGTATACGAAAATGGAATTTTTTTTTTAAATTTAAAATGGAGATTGAAATAGTTGAAATTGGAACAACTCATTGAAGTGAATGGTCATCAGATGGGCGAGGCAGTAGGGCTAAAAGGGATTGGGAGGTTAACAGTCCGTCAGCCTTATTGTGGGTCTTTCTTCGTACTNAATTAACATTAAATGAAATTAACACAATGAAATTAATTAGAATTAACATTAAATGAAATTAACACAATGAAATTAATTAGAATTAACATTAAATGAAATTAACAAGAATTTAATTCGGTATAAACAATAATTGAGTTGAAATTAATTACATTTAAGCAGTAGATTAACTTTATCTTTAAATATGAATTAATTTTCAGTGGTTAATTTTAATTTAAATATTATTTTTTACGACATTACTGCAAGAAATTTCGTTGAAGTAGAGTTAATTTTTAGCAAAGATGCGTGTTAATACCTTAATGAACGGAACACAATTGTTATTTAGTATTATTTACAGCATTGCCTTTAGTTACATCGATGAAAAGTTCGATAAGAGGGTGTACATTTAGAATTTTTGTCAATTCCCTCGCGTGCAAATGGCATAAAGTAATTATAACTAGAGGAAATTATTACTTTTCGTTCGCATCTACGCAACTTTATTATCAAATAAGTGTTCGTTTGTGGTTATAAATAAGAAAAAAAAAAAAAAAACGCCAAAAAATAGGGTCATTCACTTATATAAATTCATTTATAAGCGATATCTCTTATAGAACAATACGAATCCAATTATCGAGGGTAACGTGCAATTTATAGGAATTATAAGAAAGATAAATGATCTCCCTAGTAATGAGTCGAGATATCAAAGATATCATATTTGTATTTCACAGTATTCTGTAACAGCTTGGGTCTACGTAACTAAAAATAACCTGCCTTGACATTGTTAAATTTCCTCGTAATATCATTAGTTTATGATACTAGTAGGGGTTTTTACGGATTTATCAGTAAAATTACCTAAAATTTCGATGGATATCATTAAAAAGAACCGACTAATTGAGAAAATGAGAGGTTTACGGTAGGGAATTTAAATTTTTTTTTCGCTTTTAAACTCGCTCGTTTGTCGGAAAGTTCGTTGAATCAGCCTCAAGCAGAGAAAACATTGCTTAAAAAAGTACTACTAACCTCGATATCATCATAACTGGAGGGGATAGACTCGGTTTTCGGATTTGTTCGGTTACGCTCGTCCACCAATCATAGTAGAAGTGCAAGTTCCAATCCGGGGTCACCGTTCTACATAGAACAGTTCCTCGAGTTGAAGGAGAAAAGACGTTTCGTTTGGGATATACCATGCTGTGTAGAGATTGATTTTAAAAAGGTATCAAATGGAGGGTGGTAGAAGAAAGGTGTCCGGTGGACCAAGATGGGTAAGATGATATTTTAAATATATTTTGGTAGAAAATATCTTACTTTTTATCGTGTTTAATCGAGTTCACCGTCAGTGGTGTTCACATTCGATTTGATCATTGGTGAGGAAAGTGGGGGGTGACATTTGTTTTACATGTTTTGAAACCTGTATTTATGTGAATGCGTGTTTACTTTTCTGTATACAGACATAATTATCTGTAATTTCGATATAAAAATTGTCTTTAATCAAGGCTTTCATTACTGTCTGGTGGAGATTCGACTTTGACCCTTGGTGAGGAAAGTAGGTGATATTTAAGTTTAAATCAACGTAAATTTACTATTTAAACTAATCTTTAAGTAAATATATATCTAATTTTTACATAAAAGATAGAGAAAATTATGTTTATATCAATTATTTTCTATTAAAATTCAATGAGATTGGACTAGGATCTTTGACTACGAAAAAGGGTAAGAATTAAGTTCAAATCGATATAAATTTTCTTGTGAATCAATCAGACATAAATTAACTTCACTTTTATCGATTTTTATGCTTTATAATCAGTTAATTTGTAAGTAAAAATTAATACACTTATTATAAATTAATCAACTTTATTATCGACTTGATTTAAGAAATGGCCTAGGGTTTCGATTAAGTTAACAATTAAAATTCGCATTCATCTGAATTAATTTTATATTTTCGGCTCGAAGGGCAATTCAAATTAATTGACTTTCCATTCAAGGACTTAAGAATGACTGTTATTAATTCATTGAAAAGGCAACAGAGCGAATGATCTGTAAATAATCAGTTGCAGCAATATATTCTGGATGATTTAATTGTTACGAATTGTTCTGTAAAATTTTAAATTAAATCAATTGCACTCATTTAAAAAAAAGAAAAGGAACAATCGCTTCTACTTTTCTTTATGTAAAGAGAGAAATTTTTAAGAGCGTGTGCCTATAATAACTCAACACTCGACACAGTTTTTGGACGAATTTAACACTTCCTAACCGATTTATTTTCTATTAAAACTAGTTTTAGCCATTATAAATCAGTACTAATGTCGAATTAAACAAGTTTACTATGCATTTATACACTGATTTTACTCTAAAAGTTGCTTAGGTTAGCTAACTTCTACCGAAAAATTAACCTTTATAACAGGTCCGAATGGAATAACATTTAAAAATAAACTTAAATAATCTTAATTTAAATCGGAACAGCTCTGAAAATTTCTAAACTAAGTGACTGCTAAATAAAAAAATATTTATTTTTATCATAGCTCTTCTATCAAGTGATTTAGTTTCGAGTAATCCTGTTTGAATTCTAAAATTACCCCAGAGGAAAAATAGGCATTCTGCACGACAGAAAAAAATTTGTCATCGTAAAAAATGAATATTCTATACAATAGTTGTTGATTAAACACTACTCGTAAGCTTACTTCTATATATAGATCTTATAATGTGACTCACAAATAACAATTCGTAGCTCGGGGATATTTCTAGATAGGCAATTCTTCGTATATCACGCTTAACTAGCATTAAAAATAGGAAATTGTTGAAGGAAGTTTGAATTTTTTTTTCTTGATTATTCGCTGTCTGATCGACAATATTCTTACATGAATTCAAGATAATGGAGGAAGAAGTATCAATGTTCAAGACTGTTATCACGCGAGTTAATTGTCACATAGGAAATTAAGGAGGGGAAATAGATAAAAATCTTCAATATAAAGGAAATATTCGAGTGTTTTTGAAGTATATTCGATTTTTTTTAAACAATAGAACAATAAACGAGCACTTATTGTACGAAGAAATTTAACATTAATTCGTATACAAGAGCATCTTTCTTATCCTTCTGATGCTTCAGCGCTTTTCTTTACTGGAATTTCCCATTGAAAGAATTGAATTTTTGTGAAACTGAGATATACAAGATATATATCTTTATTATTAAACGATTCGTGTTATAGATCATTAATTGTGTGCCGAATATCTATCAATGGAGTTGTTTGTTCTTATTATAATAACATTTATTCGATATTAATGAAGGAAGAAATCGTGTGAAATGCTTTACGAGGATAGTTCTATGAGAAAATATGAACATATTGGATGACAATGTGTCTATTGTTTACATTATAATCAATTAACACGCATTCGATGCGAAAATATAAGGCCTTATTAATAGATATAACTAGGCATAGCCAAATTAAAATTCCTGAAACTATACCTAATTGTCTAGTTAAACATCAAAAGAACTAGGCATAGTATTATGTTTATTAAGCATAATCTTCTAAAACTATGTGTAATAAACGTAAGCATTATCGAGCTATATGTAGTGCTTCGTGTGTTATGCCTCGATTAAAACGTCTTTACAATGTGTTAAGATATAAACACAAGATTTTCATCACAATTTCAAAATATTTCATCAATTTGTTGAAATTCAAGAGAGAATTTCACGTGTTGTACTTGCATTTCTCTCTCTCGTGCGTAACTAAATATTTTCACTTTCCAGCTATTGTTCTCGAAATTTGCTCTATTTTCTTTTCGAGTTGTATACAGTACAGTCATTCGATTCATCGCTTCTAATTTAGCCCAATTATTGTTTATTTGTCCATTTAACTATCGAGTTTATACACTTAGGTGACCTCAGAGGTCATCTTTCAATAATTAAGGGATCATTAGAAACACGAAATATCACACGGGGTCAAGTTGAACGCTCCACGACCGAGGTCAAAATTATACCAATTTACAACGATCGATTGACATTTTCTCCTTTCCCCGAACACAAATTCGTTCATTGATAGGGTCAATGTCACTAGAGTCAATTGGGTTTGTTGTTCTTATTCATTTTTACATGTTCCACTTCATGTACTTGGGTCTTCAACATGCGCCGTTATTTACATTTTAAATGTCACAGAATAGCTCTAGGAATTTTCTTTTGAATACATTTATATTAATATATCTCGAAAAAAAAAATCTGAAATTAATTATTTAATTTTTAAAATTTGAAGAAATATCCTTCATTATTAATTAAATAACTTTCACTAGAGAAAAAGTTGTGTTTGTTAATAATATTTTTGAAAAATTTCATTAATTGAACTCGATAAATAATTTAAAAAAACGTAGAAAATTATATAAACGTGAAAAAATGTCAGTTTCCAGATTAAATACAATTAAGAAAACTGTCAATTTCTGAATTAAATGTAATTAACAGAAATGTAAATTTCTGAATTAAACGTAATTAAAAAATTGTCAATTTCTGAATTAAACGTAATTAACAGAAATGTCAGTTTCTAGATTAAATGTAATTAGTAAACAATCAAATCAATGTGAAATTTACGAATTAAGATGGAAACGGGATTAAATTGTCAATTTTTTTTTATAATAAATGAAATAATTTATATTAAGTAATTTTTACGAATTTAGTTAAAAATTGGAATTAACTTTAATCGAGTGAAATTAATTGTAATTTAGTAGCTACAAATTACATAATTTAATTAGCTTAGATATATTTAATAAGAATTAATTTTTTTTTTATTAGAAGTATTAACAAATATTTCTAATGAAATTTTATACATTATAATTAAGGAAATTAATTAAAAAAATTAAATGAAGTTAATCAAATACTATTTTTTTTACCTTCGATTTTAGCATAAAAAAATAGAATAAGAAAAGAGAAAATTTAACTTATTTTCTACTTGTTCCAAATGATTAGGATGTTGATGCCCCTTTATTTAGTCTCTATCTGATGGCTCCATTTCCCTTTATTACTTTCCCTGTATAGATAAGACTCTCAGCATGAATGACAATTTAACTATTCCATTTCCACGATTAATTTCCTATCTGTAATTATTTATGTTACAGAAACGAATTCAAATTATATCATTAATATTAATTATCTAATTCCAAATCCAATTAAATCACACCTAATTTTGATAACATAAATATAATTTAATTCCAAATATTTTGAATACGTTTATATGTTAATTGTAATTAAATTTATTTAGTTAATCATATTAATGACACTGACGCGAATGAAATTAACAGAATCAGCTGTTTGATTTGAAAGAATATTGTAAATTTCTATTTGTTTATTTAATGAAATTGATAATAAACTGAAATAGAACAATTTAAACAGCATCAGCTGATCTTAAATACATTTAAAAATCATTTAATGATGTTTAAAAATCGATTTCACGTTATTGTTATCGAAATTAACATAATAATTTGAAATTGATTTAAAAAAAAACATTAGCAACTGTTATTTTTCTGTTAAATAATTAATATTAGTTAATTATTTTCTGTTTTTAAAATACAATTAACAATTACGATTACTTTTATTCATTTTTAATCTACTTTTTAATCGGGTACTCGGCTAAAAAAGTCAATAAGTTTTCAGAGAATGAAACGTACTAATGATTAATTTTTATTTTTAATACTAAATAAATTCTATTTTTGAATACATATTTTAAAATATTGGTTTTTCACCTTCCATAGCACAAGTGGGCCAAAATTATTCCGAAACAGGCCTGTATTTATGTATTTTCTTTCCTTGTTCGTACCGGTTTGGACTTTATACTTTAAATGCAATTAATGTCTTTCTTTTTTTTTTGGAGAGGGGGGTTTTTATGAAATAGACTGAGCAGAAAATCTTATAAAATCTAAAGAGGGTTAATGGAGATTACAGTTTTATTGCTCACAATTAAATTATAATTTTCCTTCTCGGTAAGAAATATTTTGCGAGGAAATGACCTTGAAATCATTTATAAAAATTCTTTAAATAATTATTACACTTTAAATAACGGCCTTTGTTACGAATTTAATCTATCCGGAAAGGTACATTTAGGGCAAGATGTGTAGAAAACGTCGGGTTGTCGACCCGCTCTGCAAGGTCGTTTCTACGTAGGAGATCTTACATTTAAATTCTCTATCAACGACACAATTATAAAAAGTAATTATTACAAGATTCTCCTTGTTGTTAATCTAATCTTCGTTTATATCTTTTCTTTCGTATTCTCACGCGTTAAGTCACTAACCCGAATTGATGATGGAAGAAGAGGGAGTTCCAGTCTCTTTACGTTATTAGTTGAAATTGTTTTACGTCACAGTCACGAACTTTTGCTTTTTATTGTGACGAAGTTTTCGTATCTTTGTTTCTTGTAATAATTCATAGTTGGGTTATTTTATGTGTTTTCGTGAAGGAGAAATGTCATACGATATACTTTAACTGTGGCTTATGAGTTATAAGGTATGTAATTATATTGTTAATATAATTCTATCAGACACTGTAAGAATTTAATGGTTCCTCGGCTATGCGCTGTCTTTAAAAATTAATGCCAGAGCTCTCGCCATTTCCGGAAGGCCCTAAATTCGATTGAAAAATTAAAGGCGAAACCGGACTTATACGTAAGCTAACGAAGCTAAACCTCGAGGCCTCTTTCTTTTAAATAATTATTTAAAGGAGAAGGGCCTTTTACTTGTTATAGATTAGATCCACAAGACGAAGGGCGATTTTAACATAAGACCTCGCGTTTTTAAATTTATTATTAATTGGTGGAGGGAAAGGACCGCTTGTTATTATCCTAAACTGAGATTTAGAGTGATAAGAAGTCTAATTTAGTGCTTTATACCATTTAAAATGGCAGCCATAATTCCAATACGCGCTGCTCAAAATGGAGAGCGACTTCTTAGAGTTATTTTGAATAGTACTCACTCATTTTAACAATTTTCTCTACTTGAGCAGAAAATAGGCGAATTTCAGTCGCCATTTCATGCGGAATAAGCACTAATTTGTATTCTTATAATATTGAGTAAATCGCTAACAATATTGTAAATATCATTTCAGTTGGTGATTGTTTAGACTATCGAAAACAATACGAAATTAATCGCCAGAAAGTATACGAAAATGGAATTTTTTTTAAATTTAAAATGGAGATTGAAATAGTTGAAATTGGAACAACTCATTGAAGTGAATGGTCATCAGATGGGCGAGGCAGTAGGGCTAAAAGGGATTGGGAGGTTAACAGTCCGTCAGCCTTATTGTGGGTCTTTCTTCGTACTCATTATAAATTCGGGGCCTGCCCGAAACCGTGATAAGTAAAAAACCGGGCCCTATTAGTGTTCGCAACGCGTTTTTCTTGTTTGTTTTTGAATTCTTTTCGTCCCGTTGACACTAAGAGGGCCTCCCTCTTTTAGCGAGTCCATTACGAGTTCGGTCGGGCCCACGATAAGGCAACCGGGTGATTAGGAAAGGGGCCTTGTATTCACAGCTCTCTAGGAATAAAAAAAAATATGCACTATTTAAACTAAATTAAGGCTTAATTAGATTAAATTAAATTAAAAAAATTAAGCTAAAGAAATATTTTACGTAATCGCACGTTCACATTTAAGCAATGGGTTTTAAATAATTATTGAAAGGCCTTGACAGAAATATTTTTATTACACATTTAGTGAAAAAAAAATTAAACTTTTATATCATTTATTTTTTGCAACAGCAATTATTGTTCTAGTTTTGCTATGAACTGTAATGGAAAAAAAATAAAAAATAAAACTATTTTTAGCCAAGAGTAATTCCTCAAATAATAATACAAAATATTCAAATGGTTCTACAAAAATTGGCTTAAAAAATCAGATAAAAATTACCGGATTTCTCACAGCTTCATAATTTAATTTCTAAACATAGGTTAATGTTCTAATTTCTGTAAAATTCTGATAGTATCTTTAATCATAATAATTTCATGCTGGATACGATATAATTCTGATTAATGGAAGCTTCTTCCTGGAGTTTATAAAAATAAAATGGTGTTTGGTATGCCGAAAGAAGAGTAAAAAGACGAACAAACTCATAATGCTTGTATTTAAAAAAAAAAAATTATTTATTTTCAATGTGTTCGTTCATGCTAAACTCATTTCCTTCTCCCTCCAACTGTTACAAGCAGGAAATAACGTCGGAGGATTTCAATAAGAATCTTACTTTATTCGAAAAAAATATAAAAAAAATTAGTGAGTTAAGCGAGTAAAATTTACAAATAATTTTCATAAAAACTGAAATTTTCATGAAGTTACATCAGCGATGATTAATACAATCCCATATAAAACATATGGACAAGATTGGTTATGGTCTAAATACGTTCCAATGATTGATTATTAAATAAAATTGGAACTTAGATATTTATTTAATTGTACAGAAAGTTTATTAATTTGTTTACATTTATATACATTCTAAGGAAAGTAAATAAATTAAATAAATATATGAACTGGAATCATAAAGGTAGAAGAACAGTACAGGTTAGGAAAGTGAAATTTGCCTTTATAAATAGGGCGGTTTACATTTAATTTTTACTTCATAAAACTAAGATTTTGTGCTTATAAAAGTGAGATTTTGTATCTATTTCTATAATAAATTACACTTTCTATAACAGATTTACATAATAAATGTCTCTAGTAAACTTTCTATAGGATAGTTTATTGATAGGGTAGTATATTCTGTAGGATAACAAGTAATCAATAAGAATAAAAATAAATTCAAGGAAATACTTAACTAATGATGCGTTTATTATTATTATTATTTATTTTTTCATTTAAGAAACTGTATTTTATTTTCTTCAATATTCTATTTATGTAAACGAATCGATGCATAACCGATGATAATATAAACAACACAAAGTAAATGGAGCAAAGAAATTAAAATTTACATTAGAAAAAAAATTAAAGTATCGAATATTAAATCGATATTTTCTTAAGTAAAATTCTAACGATTAATTTATAAAATTTTAGTACAATTTTGTTACTTAATTAGCATCTTTTAGAGGAAAAAAATGGAACAAACTATAGAGATAACATCAGAGAAATTGTATTGGATAAAGTAGCTTGTAGGAAAAAATGTAAAGAAAAACTTTATTTAGTAATAATAAGAAAAAAACTATCGTGATTGAGTTATATATAAGAAAATTATATGCTAAATTCACGTGCGAATTGAGGAGTTTGAACGTTCTATACACTAGATCTCCCCCCCAAAAAAGTTAAAACAATGAACGTTTATCTGTTTAAAAAATGAGAGGAGGAAATAAATGTTATAGTAGTCCTCATTTTATAAGATTTTACGGAAATTTGATCTAGTTTACTTTAAGTTAATCGCCTTTTCTTAAACTAAAAAGCCGGGCCCACACGATGCGGTAGGAAATCGCTGACGAAAAATTTATGGGGTTGAGCATCCTGATTCGATCCCGGGTCTTCCAGAGAGGTATGACGATGCCCCAGCAATTAATCGAGTTTAAACACTATAAATGTAGTGTGTGGTTTATTTTAAAATAATACGAGTTATTTTTTAGAATAATTTTATTATTGCTCTTATTTTCTGGTTAGCTGCAGAAATTGCGATTGCTACTGATATAATAATAAGTGGAACGTTTGATGTCGTTGTAATAACAAGTAGGAGAATTGTTAATTTTTTTTATGAATTAAGTATTGTGTTCGAAGATTTCTTTATTTATTTTAAACCATAAGGAAAGTCGACTGGACGGCCGAACGATTAAGGCATCGTTCTATCATTATGGGGAATCCAGAATCGAAATTCGAGCTCCTCAGGAATTTCAGATATGCCTGGTCTCGCCCAATTGTGGGCCCGGCTGAATCCGTATTGGGTATGGAAAAGGCCTCTTAGTGTCCACACGGCAATTCTGAGAAGTAGTTCTGCTTTTTCCTTATGTTAATGAAAATCATAATACTTTACATAAAAATTTCACAGGACATTATTATTATTATTCTTTAGTTTTAACTTTAAATTACGTTTATTATATACATAAAAACACTTTTCTCACGCTCCGTGGGTATTAAGAGGGCATCAATCGTGTCCATTATAATTAATGAGTGTCAGCCAAAGACATCGTGATATGGGTTAAGTGACGAGAGATGGGGCCGGATGAAATTATTTCGAAAATTTCTGTAAATACTATCCAGATTCGAATCTGAATCCTTTTACCATCTCGTCAAAGATACTGTTAGCTTCATCACGCATGCTTTAAATCAGTGATTCCCAAACTTTTTCGAGCCACAACCCCTTTGGTTCCATAAACTTATACCCAACGCTCCCTAACCATATTGTTAAAAAAACTTTTCTATGAACCTCACACTTTTCGTCCTTACCGTACATTGTTCTCCACATCCGGAAACCATTAAACGCGATGTTTCTTCTTACCCGTTTTAAAAGAGGAAAGAGAAAAGTTGTCATTGATCCCAACCTTCGCCTATGATCATTGTTTGTCTTCGTCTTCGTCGGGGCTCCTCCGGAGACGTGTGTTCACCGTTCGGTCAGAACCCCGTCTCCGGCACCCCTAGCCTCCCACTCGCTTCTTTTCGTCCCCCAGATTTACTCACCGCCCACAGGATGTGGTAGCGCCCACTTGGGAACCACTGCTCTAAATGAACAAAATATTTCCTACATAACAGTAGTGTAACCTGTTTACTAGGCCTATCACTTTATATACTCCCTAATCCTAATCTCAAATACTATATTTCTTCTCTAGGCATGCCGATTTGGTCCGGGGTTTCCGAAATTCGTTATATGGGGGTCTGTCAGGTCAATAATAATTTAATACCATCGTATTTCTTGTAAGGATTTCAAACAATTATGAATAAGTTATAAGTAATGCAATTATGAAATTACCGTTTGATACAGAGAAAAATGCTTATGTCGATTTTCAATTGTGTTGAAAATAGTGTAAAACTGGCAAAGAACTAGAATTTTAATTAGAGATGCTACACGTTTCTGTTCATTTTTATAGGACATATTTTAGAACATAGCACGATACAATATGCTTTAAATTATTATTTTATAATATAAATCTTTTAAAGTATTTTATATTAATTAATATATTTGACTTTGTTTTTCATACAGTGCTTTAACTTCCTCTGCCTGTTTATTTTATCTCTGGCGGCAGAAGGTCAATTTCTCGAAAGTTTTTTCAGTGGTAGACGATCGCACGACGATGGAACTTCTAGCGATTTTGTTGATGGAACCAGCAAACATTTTCTCAGCTTATTATTCTCTCCCTTCGATAATAAACAAAGCGCTGGAGGCATTAGTGAAGGGGGTGGAATGTTTTCTCTTTTCGGACAGCCTTCCCGATCTGGATCGGTAAATTATGAAAATTACAGATCGCCGCAATCTTCGTCGGTATACGAAGAATCGCATCGTGCTTATTATCCTTGTGTAGGATGCAAAAATCGTCAAACGGATACCTCACCAATTCGACCCCCTCCACTTCCTCCCCGTCGTCCAGATGATGACTACGAAACGGGAGCATATACCTGTAAAGGATGTAATAAAGGCCCAACAAATCAACCGATCAAAGATATTTCCGTTGAAGGTGCGTACGAATGCAAGGGTTGTTCTCACGATTATTCTGCACAAGCTGAATCTTATCGATCGCCGAAACGATACCAAGAAAGTTACGAATATCCGAAAATTCACCATCATCCTCAATATCACGTTATTGATACAAAATTGAGGGTCCCTCCTATAAAGTTCCGATTACATTTGTCTCCTAAAATTACAATAAAAACTAATGCGCAAGATCCGTTGGAAAGAAAACCCGTACAAGACGACGAAGATTACATTCCACCAGAAGTTCATCATCATCATCATCATCACGGTCATCACGTTCACGGTTATTATCATCCCAAAAGAGATGGAAGTGGTGTCCATATCGAGCAACCGTACGGTGCCCATTTCATTAAACACAACCAACCGATAAGAAATAAATACGATCCTACTTTTAGGATTAAAATAGATCCAGAAATCTTCACCGATCCTCCTCCTTCTCCTTCTCCTCCTACTCCACGTACCACAACTAGCAGTTCTCGTCTGGAAGCGCGACCGAGCCGTCAGAGCGCCGCTGCAACAACAAGAGCGACAACAACAACTACTACGACAACTACTCCCGCTCCAACAATATCTTCTAATGCTAGATCAGCTATAGATAGTTTGCGCGAAGCATCCGAATCGGGTTTGAGTCCGCTCGAAGCTCTTCTACGCAGAAGAAGCACAACTACAAAGAAACCATCCACGACCACATCCACGACCACGGTGTCTACAACAACAACGAGTCAGAGAGAAGTGGAAGAAACAACGGCTAAAACGACTACAACCATAGAAAATGTTTCCAGCAATGAAGTCAGCGTGGATACCGTTACATCCACGACACCGGTATCGGAAAAGATCCAAGTAACTACACAAGATCCACGCGTTGCTATACTTAAACTAAGAGAAGCGGCCGAATCGGGTCGTAACCCCTTCGAAGCTCTTCTGGCCGCTAGACGAACGACCTCAAACGACAGGAAACTCAACCCAAGAAATTCAGAAAAAAATTGAAGCTGTAAAATCTCTTTTACATAATTTCAATTTGTAAATTACTCCTGGACTTTCAGAGGAGTTCGTTTAACTTTACGTATAGCCACGTGCCCGATACACCCGTGGCTAACACTATTTAATTATGCATATACTCCATTCTAAATAATAATACTTACGAATAGACAGGTTCCATTAAAACTAAGCCAAATTGAAAAATTTTGTTCTATCAAATCTATGGTTCGGGTCCTAAATTTGATCCGAACAATTTAATTCGATTTTTATAATCAGCTAAATCATCATCTTTCTAATGTTGAAAAAGATAAAGGAAAATGTTTTTAAAATTCTTTAATTAAATACTATAAAGGTACAGTACATAGAACCTGGCACAATATTCATAAAAAAAATAATTACTTAATTCAGGCAACCAATAATTTTATGAAAAGAGATATTTTGTCCAAACATCTGATCATCCTCAGTTTACAACTCAATTAACACATCTGTAGATATGTTAACTGCTTAGTTTATGAACTAAGCAGTTAACATATCTACAGATGTATTAATTAAGCAGTTATTTTGTTTACTAATTTTTAAAATGTTAAAATAAGAAATTTCCAAATTATATAAATTAATGTTCATAATAAAAATTTATTAATTTGAATTATCAACACTACAAAACAAACTTATTAAACTTACCAAATGATTTCGGGCTTGATCAATTTGTCTTTCTCCTTCAAGAATCATCTCAAACTGATGCTTGAATAGTTTTATTTGTTCTAGAAAATAGTATAACAGCATAAATTAAATTAATCATAACATGTATTATAAAATCTCTACTATAATATAGCCTACCTATAAAATCTCTTTGAACATCTGTCCATAAAATATTCAGTTCAGCTAACTGGCTCATAATGTCCTAAAAATTTAGTAGTAAAAATTAATTAAATGACTCTCAATAGCATTAATTGAACAAAATTTTATAGTCTTAGAACATACTTGAATTGCCCTGTTTTCATCAGCCGTAGCCCATTTTACCATATCTTGAGCAGCTATAATACAACATTTATTTTAATACTGTAGTTTGTGTCTTGCCTTAAAACTATAACTGAAAATTTAGAATCAGTCTGTAAATTAAACTTGTTAAAACACAAGATTATAACCTCTGAAAAAGCAATGGGCTATATTTCATTTTAAATGAATATTCTAACATTTATGAAAAAAAATCTAATTATATTATTTCAAATACAGTTAATTAATATCACATTCATTTATTTTAATAGAAAAAAGTAATCATTCAATAACTATCAAATCAAATATTGAATGTTTGTTGAATTATGCCAAGTTAATTTCACATATTGGTACAACCAGGAATACCTATCCTGGAAAAATTTCTGAGATCAATATTCAAAGAATAAAGATTTTGATTCATGATAACTGATCATTATTTTCTTATGCTGTGTCTAAAATCTAAAATAGTTATACTGCATAGTTCTCTTTAACTTAATAAAAATTAATTATTACCCTTTATATACAAAATATAATAATAACAGTTTGTTATATAATTATTTTATATATCATTTTAGAAGAATAAATTTACAAATTAGTGTGAGTGCTCAAAAAATTCAATAGCTGAAATAAATACATACAAAAAATAAAATTAAACTGTTTTAATGAAGATAAAATTCAACACAACTTAAAAAATGCCTAAGCATTTTCAATCTGTAATGCTCTTCATAAGAACATGCACATCCCTCATGATAAATATCATTAAACAAATGGAAATTTTTCAAATTTTTGTTAAGTTTTTAATTTTATTAAAACAGTTTTGAGTTTATTTGAAAAATTAGAGAACATAATTTCCAAAATTACTGCACAGTTGTGTATTTTAAAGAGAAATACGATAACATTGGTTTGAGATGCATGAGTGTAAAAAAAAATATTAATATTATATTATTAACTTAAGATACTTGTTTTTATGACTGTTTTCTTACTGTATTTCATATTTGACATGATCAATATTTGTGTTATGTATTGCCAGTATGAAGAGTTTATATAAGCTTAGTTGGAAGTAACATGTAAGTAATATACAAAGAAGCAGATTTTATATACTTGAATAATTATTTTCAGGTTCTTAAATTTGTATTTTGAAAGTTTTGAACATTTTCCTGTTTTTTTTATATTATACTAAAAATTAAAGTGATTAAACAAACTGTGATTTTAGATTAAATAAATTAAAATGATCCTTCCCATATAGAAAACAATAGCATGGGTAACATTTAACAGGTGTAAACATTTAATTTTTTTTAAGGTTTATATGTAATTTTTTAAAAATAAAAATACAGTAGAACCTCGAAAACTCGGCTCTCGATAACCCGGCACTCCGGATAACTCGGACACACCCTGGNTGATTGTTTAGACTATCGAAAACAATACGAAATTAATCGCCAGAAAGTATACGAAAATGGAATTTTTTTTTTAAATTTAAAATGGAGATTGAAATAGTTGAAATTGGAACAACTCATTGAAGTGAATGGTCATCAGATGGGCGAGGCAGTAGGGCTAAAAAAGATTAATTAATTTTTTTTTTATTAGAAGTATTAACAAATATTTCTAATGAAATTTTATACATTATAATTAAGGAAATTAATTAAAAAAATTAAATGAAGTTAATCAAATACTATTTTTTTTACCTTCGATTTTAGCATAAAAAAATAGAATAAGAAAAGAGAAAATTTAACTTATTTTCTACTTGTTCCAAATGATTAGGATGTTGATGCCCCTTTATTTAGTCTCTATCTGATGGCTCCATTTCCCTTTATTACTTTCCCTGTATAGATAAGACTCTCAGCATGAATGACAATTTAACTATTCCATTTCCACGATTAATTTCCTATCTGTAATTATTTATGTTACAGAAACGAATTCAAATTATATCATTAATATTAATTATCTAATTCCAAATCCAATTAAATCACACCTAATTTTGATAACATAAATATAATTTAATTCCAAATATTTTGAATACGTTTATATGTTAATTGTAATTAAATTTATTTAGTTAATCATATTAATGACACTGACGCGAATGAAATTAACAGAATCAGCTGTTTGATTTGAAAGAATATTGTAAATTTCTATTTGTTTATTTAATGAAATTGATAATAAACTGAAATAGAACAATTTAAACAGCATCAGCTGATCTTAAATACATTTAAAAATCATTTAATGATGTTTAAAAATCGATTTCACGTTATTGTTATCGAAATTAACATAATAATTTGAAATTGATTTAAAAAAAAACATTAGCAACTGTTATTTTTCTGTTAAATAATTAATATTAGTTAATTATTTTCTGTTTTTAAAATACAATTAACAATTACGATTACTTTTATTCATTTTTAATCTACTTTTTAATCGGGTACTCGGCTAAAAAAGTCAATAAGTTTTCAGAGAATGAAACGTACTAATGATTAATTTTTATTTTTAATACTAAATAAATTCTATTTTTGAATACATATTTTAAAATATTGGTTTTTCACCTTCCATAGCACAAGTGGGCCAAAATTATTCCGAAACAGGCCTGTATTTATGTATTTTCTTTCCTTGTTCGTACCGGTTTGGACTTTATACTTTAAATGCAATTAATGTCTTTCTTTTTTTTTTGGAGAGGGGGGTTTTTATGAAATAGACTGAGCAGAAAATCTTATAAAATCTAAAGAGGGTTAATGGAGATTACAGTTTTATTGCTCACAATTAAATTATAATTTTCCTTCTCGGTAAGAAATATTTTGCGAGGAAATGACCTTGAAATCATTTATAAAAATTCTTTAAATAATTATTACACTTTAAATAACGGCCTTTGTTACGAATTTAATCTATCCGGAAAGGTACATTTAGGGCAAGATGTGTAGAAAACGTCGGGTTGTCGACCCGCTCTGCAAGGTCGTTTCTACGTAGGAGATCTTACATTTAAATTCTCTATCAACGACACAATTATAAAAAGTAATTATTACAAGATTCTCCTTGTTGTTAATCTAATCTTCGTTTATATCTTTTCTTTCGTATTCTCACGCGTTAAGTCACTAACCCGAATTGATGATGGAAGAAGAGGGAGTTCCAGTCTCTTTACGTTATTAGTTGAAATTGTTTTACGTCACAGTCACGAACTTTTGCTTTTTATTGTGACGAAGTTTTCGTATCTTTGTTTCTTGTAATAATTCATAGTTGGGTTATTTTATGTGTTTTCGTGAAGGAGAAATGTCATACGATATACTTTAACTGTGGCTTATGAGTTATAAGGTATGTAATTATATTGTTAATATAATTCTATCAGACACTGTAAGAATTTAATGGTTCCTCGGCTATGCGCTGTCTTTAAAAATTAATGCCAGAGCTCTCGCCATTTCCGGAAGGCCCTAAATTCGATTGAAAAATTAAAGGCGAAACCGGACTTATACGTAAGCTAACGAAGCTAAACCTCGAGGCCTCTTTCTTTTAAATAATTATTTAAAGGAGAAGGGCCTTTTACTTGTTATAGATTAGATCCACAAGACGAAGGGCGATTTTAACATAAGACCTCGCGTTTTTAAATTTATTATTAATTGGTGGAGGGAAAGGACCGCTTGTTATTATCCTAAACTGAGATTTAGAGTGATAAGAAGTCTAATTTAGTGCTTTATACCATTTAAAATGGCAGCCATAATTCCAATACGCGCTGCTCAAAATGGAGAGCGACTTCTTAGAGTTATTTTGAATAGTACTCACTCATTTTAACAATTTTCTCTACTTGAGCAGAAAATAGGCGAATTTCAGTCGCCATTTCATGCGGAATAAGCACTAATTTGTATTCTTATAATATTGAGTAAATCGCTAACAATATTGTAAATATCATTTCAGTTGGTGATTGTTTAGACTATCGAAAACAATACGAAATTAATCGCCAGAAAGTATACGAAAATGGAATTTTTTTTAAATTTAAAATGGAGATTGAAATAGTTGAAATTGGAACAACTCATTGAAGTGAATGGTCATCAGATGGGCGAGGCAGTAGGGCTAAAAGGGATTGGGAGGTTAACAGTCCGTCAGCCTTATTGTGGGTCTTTCTTCGTACTCATTATAAATTCGGGGCCTGCCCGAAACCGTGATAAGTAAAAAACCGGGCCCTATTAGTGTTCGCAACGCGTTTTTCTTGTTTGTTTTTGAATTCTTTTCGCCCCGTTGACACTAAGAGGGCCTCCCTCTTTTAGCGAGTCCATTACGAGTTCGGTCGGGCCCACGATAAGGGAACCGGGTGATTAGGAAAGGGGCCTTGTATTCACAGCTCTCTAGGAATAAAAAAAAATATGCACTATTTAAACTAAATTAAGGCTTAATTAGATTAAATTAAATTAAAAAAATTAAGCTAAAGAAATATTTTACGTAATCGCACGTTCGCATTTAAGCAATGGGTTCTAAATAATTATTGAAAGGCCTTGACAGAAATATTTTTATTACAGATTTAGTGAAAAAAATTAAACTTTTATATCATTTATTTTTTGCAACAGCAATTATTGTTCTAGTTTTGCTATGAACTGTAATGAAAAAAAAAAAAAAAACTATTTTTAGCCAAGAGTAATTCCTCAAATAATACAAAATATTCAAATGGTTCTACAAAAATTGGCTTAAAAAATCAGATAAAAATTACCGGATTTCTCACAGCTTCATAATTTAATTTCTAAACATAGGTTAATGTTCTAATTTCTGTAAAATTCTGATAGTATCTTTAATCATAATAATTTCATGCTGGATACGATATAATTCTGATTAATGGAAGCTTCTTCCTGGAGTTTATAAAAATAAAATGGTGTTTGGTATGCCGAAAGAAGAGTAAAAAGACGAACAAACTCATAATGCTTGTATTTAAAAAAAAAAAATTATTTATTTTCAATGTGTTCGTTCATGCTAAACTCATTTCCTTCTCCCTCCAACTGTTACAAGCAGGAAATAACGTCGGAGGATTTCAATAAGAATCTTACTTTATTCGAAAAAAATATAAAAAAAATTAGTGAGTTAAGCGAGTAAAATTTACAAATAATTTTCATAAAAACTGAAATTTTCATGAAGTTACATCAGCGATGATTAATACAATCCCATATAAAACATATGGACAAGATTGGTTATGGTCTAAATACGTTCCAATGATTGATTATTAAATAAAATTGGAACTTAGATATTTATTTAATTGTACAGAAAGTTTATTAATTTGTTTACATTTATATACATTCTAAGGAAAGTAAATAAATTAAATAAATATATGAACTGGAATCATAAAGGTAGAAGAACAGTACAGGTTAGGAAAGTGAAATTTGCCTTTATAAATAGGGCGGTTTACATTTAATTTTTACTTCATAAAACTAAGATTTTGTGCTTATAAAAGTGAGATTTTGTATCTATTTCTATAATAAATTACACTTTCTATAACAGATTTACATAATAAATGTCTCTAGTAAA